GAAGCTTTTACACACTACGGTATGAAGACTGAAGCTGTTAAAGAAGTTACTAGTTTAAAATAGACATGGGAAGTGAGAATCAATAACGTTTCAAATAGTAACTTGATCTATACGTTAGCCACCAGCTTGTCTCCTTAAAGATATTACTGCTTTGTTTGGAATGTTCCATAGTATAACATTAAACACATTTACCTCGGACTTCATCAACTACAGATGTTTTTATTGCTCAGAAATAACTTGAAATACTTAATTTTTCAGACTATAAGTCGCTCACCAGCCAAAAAATGCATAATGAAGAAAAAAAAAACATATATATAAGTTGCAGGGGACTCTAAGTCGCACTTTTTGGGGGAAATTTATTTCAAAAAATCAGAGACCAGGAACCGACATCAGTAATTATTATTAATTATTAATTAGTAATAACAATAGAACAGAGAACAACAGCCTGAATAGTCGTCTGGTATGTTAACGTAACATATGAACAGTTATTCAGATAACTAGCACATAAAAAACAGAACATAACAAGTTTACTAAACTCTCCATCTCACTCCAAATCACTAAATCCATTTAATTCTTCATCCTCCAGCCTTTCTGAATCCTGACAGGATAGTTTTGGTTGACACTGAAGTCCACACTTTGTCGGTGCGTCCAATGACTTCCAGGAAAGTTGTCCTGCGGACCCGACCAGTTACCGTGAAACTGTGTTCTCCATCCCCGCTTTCTGCTAGTCCCTCACAAGTTTCTTGCTCACCCCAAACTTTCTTTCTGCTGCTCAATTACGGTTTTTGGCTGAATATTTCACTACTTGCAGCAAAACAGCAGCTTTTTCTGCAGGAGGCATGCACAGTAGAGTGAAGTAACAGTGGTACAGTAGTAGCAGATACTGGTACACAACCCTGGAGCACCCTCTTGCAGCTGTCAGTGTGAAAATCTTAATATATAAGTCACACTGGAGTATAAGACACAGGACCACCCAAACCATGAAAAAAAGTGTGACTTATAGTCTGAAAAATATGGTAAATGTGTTCTTATTGTCTTGAAGATAGATATGAAAATCCCTTGCAGAAGGACACAGTACATAATTCATCTCCATGGAGAAAAGCAGGTGGTTGACCCTCTATTCATAAAATTGCACAGTGCACCTTTATCTTGTTTTTAATAATGCCTACTACTAGTACATTACCCATTCTGGTAAATTTCAGTAAATCTATTTTTACTGAGCAGTTATGAAATCTTACTTGCACTGCCATCAATTTAAATAATATTATTACAGCATAGCATTATAAATGAAAAGAAGAAGAAAAGAATGTTCAAATGTCTGTATCTATGTATATTACAGTACAGTAAGCCATAACTGTTCTTACTAGTCCGGTTGTTTAACCAGGATGCCCCAGGTGGAAGTGATTCACCTCCATGTGGCTGAAATGGTCTGAAAACAGTACGAGCCCGAGGAGATATGGTCTGCTCTCTGCTGGGTCTGTCCTGGGCCAAACTACTGCCGCTCAGGGTCGCTGCTCCCCTGATAACAAGCTCCGCAGTGTTATCAGTCACCCACATCGCCCCCTACCTCCACCCCCACACACAACACTTCTTTGCCTCTCCGCTCACAGCCAGAGGTGCTCCTGCCTGCATCCATCTCCCGCTGCCCCTGAACTCTGCTCCAGTGCACTGTTAATGCCCCAGCTAATCTGATCTGTCTCCGGCTGGCTTACTGCTTATAAACACACCTAGATATGGAGCTCAGGAAGTAATCCAGAGACCACTACAGTACGAAGGGGGCGACCACGGGGGTGCAGTGAGTGGGTTAGCATAACAAAGTGTACAGATAAGTTTTTCCGTGACATTATTACAGGGGAAAGTGAGTGGAGATTAAAGGAGTGCACCTCTAAAGCACAGGTGATAGCTGTGATGGTGGTGTGGCGTTGCTAGAGCAGGATTACTGTATGTGCCATGGTCCCACTGAAAAATACAGAAGGTCAGATCCATCCAGCTCATCCTGAAAAAGCTGCTTTCTGATCCTTTAAACCAACAGCAAACAGAGGGATGTTTTAAAGCATTCTCGTGTGGTTTTATGAACTTGGCCATAGTTTAAACCTACTCTAGTAAAACATTTTAAAGGCTAAAACAAATCAGTGTACACAAGGCCATGCGTTTTGTTGGCGTGGGTACACACATGGTGAGTAAGGCTCTCTCAGTGTGTGTGCAGCTGTAATGGTCCTGACAGCTGTGTGACTGAGCAGAAAGGGGGGACCTGACAAGCCATCTAATTGGATCAACTACTGCCCCCACAGCCCACTGCGGTGAATACAGCACTGAACCCTGCTCACTCCTGTACTCCTCTGAGCCTCCAGCACCCCAGGGTGCCACCAGGAGAGCTGCACATCACCTCAGGCGCTGATCATTGTGCGTGACATACTTTAGGGACAGCTCCTGTGATGGGTGTCACAGCTAAGATCTCAAATAGACTTGTGTCTTTTATCTATAAATACTTGATTGGATTGAAATCTTTATTGCTGTTGCTTTATAACAAAATAATGCTCTGAAATAGCGACAAAACAAATATGTTTTCTTTTTCATTTATTATTTGTTCACAGGCCCTGCTCATGCTAACAGCACATGAACCAGCGTCTGTTACTTCAAAGCTTTACCATTTGTAAGCAGAGCTGTGCATGAGGTATTGTTAAGCTAACATGCAGCTGAAATAGCTGTGAATACTAAACACGCTCATGATGGTGTCCATTGGCAGTCAGACCAAGGACATTTCCATGGCAGATAAACCCACAAAGGGCTGCTCATCAAACTGCAGTCCATCTGGAAGCAGCCTTGCTTTATATGCATGGCAATCCATCTATCACAGAGAGCACGATAGCATCACAGGCAGAGACCAGAGAGGTGTTTGTCTGTAGTCAGCCTCCTAACACTACACGCAATCCAACTGCATCTAGTGTTGACACAGTCCTAACTATTCAAACTGGATTCAGATACAAAGGAAAATATTTGTTATTTTATAATTCATGTCACAATGATATTGAAACTATTTTTTCATTGTCATCTGAAAATAACAGTTTCTTTGATATTACCACATGGTACTTGTTCTGGTACAGATCAAGACCATTCTAAAAGTCTAGCTGTATATATTTATCCTACTGCACTGTTGCTGACAATTGTTAATTTCAACCATGAGACATTTAATAGTTTTATTTTCTGTAGTGTAACAATGACAATAGAATATGCTACTGTTGGATAAACCCAGATGCACTCTTAAAACAGACAAGAGCTTCTATCTTGAAGAGTCTGTCAGATAAAGATTAGTAAAACATTACATTCCCAAGGTTTTACAAGACAGCCGCAGTTGCACACACCATAAAGCTATCATCTGATTTGTAAATGCAGATCTGCCTCTGTAATCAGGCTCACACTACGGATAAAAGCACGCGCTAAATACATAATTTCCAACTGTCTCTTTGCAAACGCAATATCACAGCCAGAGTCATTTTCTAGCATGTTAACTTCCTGAGGAAATCTTATCTAAGAGAGATATTTTAGTCTGAGAGGGAGGCCTCCGGGCTACACTGGCTCATTATTTAGTTTGGCTTCCTGGCTACATTTCCCCCTTATCCTCAGCAGCACTATGGTGGATCTTGGCCACAGACAGAAGCATAAAAACATCCGCCCATTTAAACAAACTGTTAACACTCAGATGGCCTATCTCAGTAAAGCAGACTCGCAGGCTGTGGCGCTCCACTGTTTGAAGCAGAGCGGACTGGTCCTCTAACTGGATAAACAAACTCCAGCCATTTTGCTCTTAAAACATCAAGAGCTCAGCAATGTATCCAATGTGAGTGTATGGATAGTCACAACAGAACAGTACAATTTTCTAGTGGTAAACTCTGTGTGGTAAAGTCAAGGTCAAGTCAAGGTAAACAGAGCAAGTTACCAATAATAATTTACATTTTCTGAAGTGCAAAAAACTTAAAAGGGCCTATACTGTGCTATTTTTTGATCCATATTATCATGCTTTAAGCCTGGAGTTGTGTTTTGTTTCATTCACACATGTTTACCTCACAAATCCTGCATTTTTAGGCTGAGTTCTTCTATCAAACTGAAAATACATGTCCACCTTGTGATGCCTTTATTGAGCTTTGGAGATGCACAGTGGACAGTCTAATAATGCAGGACTACTCAAACATGTGTCAATGAAGCAAAAAATAGCAGCATTATAACAGGGCTCTCCAAAATCAGCTAATCCTGTAGTTGAAACATCTAAATGGTATGAGTTTTGTGGTTATTATTTCAGTCTTCTCTCAGTGTTAATCCTCTAGGTCAGGATATTAAAACTATTAAAGCAATTCCAAATCTAACCACAAATTGTTTATTGAAGGTTTATTATATAATTAAGTATTTATGTGATGCGTGCAGTACAGTCTATCAGTGGTGGAAGAAATACTACATTTTGTTACTTAAAAGTAAAAAAGAGCAAGTAAAAGTAACACATGAAAAAACTTAAAAGTAGTAAAGTACCTGTTTAAAAATGTACTTAAAGAGAAAAAAGTAAAAGTATTTTGCACAGATTTTGAGATCTAATAAAAGCTTCAAATGTTGTAATTTTGATACAGATTTGTGCAGAATTTAGTTAAATAAAAACAACTGAATTAGTAATTTTTTCTAGCTATTTTTTGTTTTTGTATATATTTGTTTGCTCAAACTATGACCTCAATAAAAAGAAACCTACAGGGTTTTCAGTACATCTCACACAATAATAAAAATACTTGTACTTTTCATCCTGTTCAAAATGTAGTGGAGTAGAAAGTACAGATACCTGCTCTAAAAAGTAGTGAAGTAAAAGTAAAAAGTATCCACTTAAAATGTACTTACAGAAATCTAAAACTGTAACTTATGTAGTGTAATTTTATTAGTACTTTTATTTTGTTACGTTCCACCAATGTAGTCTATGTCATCAGGCTGACATGAACCATCATGCAACTATCAAGTACACTGACCATTTTGTTCTTCTTGGAGTAGGTCTTCTTGAGCAGTCTCTCATTCATGCGTTCCTGTTCTCTCTGTGCGTGGTGGAGGAAGCCGTTCTCCAGAGGGTCCATCACCACAGGTTGCACGTTCTCTTCTTCCTCACCCTCCTCTTCGTCCTCTTTCTTCTGCCGCTTAACCACCTTCTTCTCCTTCCACCTCTCCACCTTCTCTTGGCTCTTCACAACTCCCATCTTTTTCTGACAAAATAAAGGAACATTTTTACATTAGTAATCAGAAGGTCATTAGTAATCAGAAGGTCAAAAGGGCATATGAGAACAGTGAGTACATGAGTAAATATTCATTATAATTTTGCATCAGTTTGACGAAAAAAAATTGAGAAGTAAAAAACAAAAATACAAAAAGTAGCCCTGGATTCAATGGATATCACTGTCTATGTCATTAAATACATCAAAAATGCAAGGACAGTTTATCTCTCTGACCCTTTGAACATTAATTTAACAAAATAAAGGTGTTGTCATGTATTTTTATTAGTCTAATAATAACTATTGTGTAAATTAGGCATTAGGCAGACATCATGGCTGCCATGTAACAGTTATAGTTATGAAATTAGCTATGTGCTGCCAGTAAAATTATGCACAAAAATAACTAAATATAAAAAATATGAAGAAAAAAAAAAAAAAAGTGAAGTGACAAGTGAAGTGTCCCTGTTGACTGATGTTTAAATCCTGTGTCAGTGACTATATGCCTTGGGCAGGACTTCTCAACAGTCACAGGACTAACAACAACTATTCACTCAAATTCAATCACTAGAAACAATTTAGTGTCATTATTTCTCCTGCTACCATGTTTACAGATGGATGGTGAGAGCAAGCTTGTCTGATTATGTTGCAATCAGCACAAGTATCAAAGCTTACAACCTCCTTGCTGAGATGCAACAATGCTAACCACTCTGCCATCATGCTAATGCTAATAACTAATGACTTATTTTTAAGTCATATTCAATGTGTTTTAATTAATAATAATGTGTTTGAAATAGCTGCACTGTAACATTTCTGTTGGAGGGTCTGCTGCCTTATCTCCATGGAGATGTCATTGTTCGCTATCACACCACCAGGCCAAGTTACAGGTCAGATCTGTGTCACAGTGAAAATGCATCCTCGACATGGTGAGCACTTTAGAAATAAACACATGTAATTGCATAAATGTAGAATATCTATCTGTAATATCATACCGTGGAACATTCCAGGCACAGGAATAACATCTCCATGGACACATGCAGGCGGTGAACCCCCCACCAAAAAGGTTACATATACATATAGACTACAGTATACTGTTACTTAAGACATACAGACAGATGCTGCTAAGCTAATCTTAAGTAACTGACAAAAATAAGAAGTGTCATTACATTTTTCTTTGTAACAATACATCAGAACAACCACCAGAAAAAAGCTCTAACCAGCTGAGAAGAAGATGAAATAATTATGTCTGAAAGAATTGTAACCTGCAGTCAAGAGTCTTCAAAAAACAACAGCAACATGGCAGCTCCCGTGGCACCGTAACTAATCAATGTCAGGCTTACACGAGGGATTTAGCGCCTTTATAGTCTTTCAAGGATCACTTTAAAAACCTCAAAACAATTGCATATCAGTTTAAAAAGAAAACAACAAGATTTCAGCTACCTCAGAGCAACAGTATAGTATTCACACATCTCCGAGGATTGACAGAATGGCAGGAGATGAATGAGAAAGAGAGGGGAGGAGGGAGAGTCACAGCTGGCAAACAGTCATGCATGCAGCCCTTTCACTGTTAGCTTATACAAAGAAAACAAACACTCGCACCCGGCCTCTCTCTCCAAAGTCATCTTTAATCCTGTCAGCCCCACAACAATGCCTTACCAGAGCCCATAATCACTTTATAGCTCACGAATAATGAGCTTATGATATAAAGTGCTGCTTTTAACACGCTCTGCACACAACACACACTCGCTTATATACGTACACTAGGGCTGCAAGGGTAATCGCAGTCGAATCGAGATTTTAATGGACGCAATTATCTAATAGCAAAGACTGCAGTTTTAAATATTTGTCCATAAACAACAGTATATCCTGTCCTACTCTGCATAAAACTGAGCCCTGCTGTTTAGATCTGCACAAACATGCTCTGAAATGTGACGTTTGTATTAGCTAGTTCATATGCAAATGTTTAAAAAGTGAACTGTGAATCACTAGGATCACATTATTAATGGAGATGTACGTAGCCTGCACACGTTAAAGTACTCCAATTCACAACAAGACACAAGTTTATCTCATTCTCAATATATGCACAGGCCAGGCCTCATGTGAAAGCTCAGAACATCCAAAATTCCCTCATTGAGCTGCAGAAGATGCACTAGCACTGACTCATGTTTGTCTGCAGGTGCTGAGGTTTAGGCAGTGACCATTCAGATCAGAGAGAGGCATTTTAGGTCTAAACCAAATGGATTTCAACATTGGAACTGGCAACTCAACTAAGGGACTCATGTGAGGCTCATTTTGCTTTCTGATTGTATAACTGTTTTAAGGCCAATAGTTTTGTAGATCAGAATACATTAGCATTAGAACTGACATCAGTAAAAGCTATATTTGATTTGAAAATGTCAACCTGGTATCTGTGGAAATAGACTTGTTTGTGAAATTTAAAATACAAATCATACATACATAAATTACAAATCTAAACACAATGGCTATGCTTGTCAGAAAAAGAGATTCTAAATGGTTCAGGCCTAATGTACATTTGAATAGGAGCAGGCATTTCTCTATAACTAAGCAGTGCCTTCATGCCTCAGTACGCCTGTATGGATTTGGAGTTTATTTATTGGTATTCAAACAGCATTTGCAAATGGCTCAGTGTCTAAGCCAGTGGTTTGTATATGCCCGGTACTTCATGTCTCTTCAGTATTGCACAAGCAGCAGACAGCCACTGGCTGTTTGCGAGGGTTCTCTCTATTGAGAGATTGTTATTCCGTTTCACAGAATGAGCAGGAAAAATCACACCATACTAAACAAATTCAGTGGCTTCAGTACGAGCATTGTTAGGGCCAAGCTGAACAAAATGAGGTAGGAAAGGCATGATTAGCATTTTTATTGCAATTATGATTTTAGCCCCTGACAATTTGCTGCTTAGTTTACAACAATTAGACAGAAATTAATTAAGCAATGAACAAGAAGATGCTAAGTGTACAAATTGGCTGTAAAACATTATGTTCAGTTATCATTTTGGAGTTTTTTGTTAAGGTTAAACTACACTTTAATTGTGTTGGAGGAGAAATGCTCTCCACATTTAAACATGTTTAAATTTCACTTGGACAATTTGTCAGAAATGTTGACTTTGCAAAAACTGTGCAGTGCAGACTCAGTCCCCTCTCTGAATCTTAGTGAGGAGTAACAAGATGGAGGACTGGGCTATAGTGCATGTTTTAGATTAATGGGAGTACCTGAAATCTCTAGAAGCAAAAATTACCCAGAATATATCTGAATGAAAAAGTCAACACTTTGAACCTGGGAATCACACTGGTGACCTTTGTGCTATGAGGCAGGAATGCTGACCACTGTGCCACTGTTAAATAAAAATACATGTTATTTTAAAACATTATACAGTATTATTTGGGCAAAATAGAAGCCCACAAAAATAAGACAGATGGGTTCTTGATAGTATTGCACAAATCAAATGTTGTAACTTCTTTCATTTGAATTGCTTATAGTTCATTTCTGGTTAATAAACTTTGAAACCCAAATTTATTGCTTTGTATCAACATAATATATTTCAATAAAATCCAAAATTCACAACTTTTCATTTTTGTATAGGTCTACTTAAACAATGGAACACAAATAAAAAACAGAAGTGTGTAAAGTATCCAATCTGTCCATGCTGTAGTAACACCAGTTAATAGAAGTGACAGTGGCCGTGCCTGTGTTTGTAGCTGCACAGACTCAGAGCCTGAGGGCCTCACTTCACATTTGTGAAACATCTGCTCACAGCTGCCAGCGCTCACTCGCCTCAGCTCAATGTGGATAATCTCATCATTGGCTTCAAGGGTGGGAGGTTACAGCAGCTGGCAGGTACGCTAACCCCAGAGCAGCTAATAAGTGACATCTTCTGTGTCCCAGAGCGCACATGAGAAGCAGCATGTGGAATGACAGGGCTTTAATGTGTAAAAATGACAATATGCTCTTTTAGTGTTTATAGGAAGATGCCTAAAGGTGTACTTTGAAACCAGGTGTATCACAAGGTTTACACTTTTCATGACTGAAATATGATAGCATTCATAAACTACACTGCTGTCAATCAAAAAGGCCTTTGTCAGTCATATTTAGAGTTTTGACAATGAGTAGCCCTGACAGTACGGTCAGTTCACAGAGGACTGACCTTCAGCTCCTCTGTGCTGCACTTAACACTAACACTCTAATCTACTCTAACCCTCACAGCAAACTGCAGTTCACACATACATAGGTGATAGTGACTAGTCTCAAGTTTTACATCATCTCTACAGCAGATCTATACAATCTGAATTGTGCATAATATCCACAGTTACATTCACACAACTACACTCATAATGTATCTAAACAACAAACTACAAATCTATTACTGTCAGCTTACATGGCACAAACTGCATATAAACCAAATGACCAAAGATGTAAAGCTCGTGTTTATAAATACACTATGTGCATTTTTAAGTTCTGAAACATGGAAACATGGCAGCACTCATCCCCACAGTGCTAACACTTGGCCAGTATACACATGCTTGCAACTGAATGACTGTACAGAGTATAAGTATATTGTGGTTCTTCATTACACTGATCACTATTGTGAATAACCATGTCAATTGGAGCTGGTACAGTAGAATGTGTGTGTTCACACAGTGCTCTGGCCTCCTGCTCTCGCCTGCTGTTTGCTGTCAGTAATAAACACATTGTAATTGTCTGAGTGTGTGTTTCTACAGTAGATCTATAATAGCTGCAGAAGAGGCGGCTCATCCATCTCGGAGACGCTGCCAGCAGCCGCTTAGCTGTAATATCATTTCCATATGTCAGAGACTGAAGAGAGGCTTTTTCTTCCATCAAACTCTGGACTCTGTTTCTACACACAGAGCCTTAGCACAGCACTAGATCAATATCTACTTTCTAATCAAAAGCAACGGTAGTCTTGGAAATTGTTGTAGTCAGTACAAATTTTGAAAGCTATCAAAGATTATACAACA